ACTTTTAACTTCATTATATCTACTAGAGTTTTCCTCACCATTTCCAAGCCAGTCCATGACTGTGCAAGACCAGAGCCTTTCTGGTCCTTATGGGGGACAGACATGGCTTTCTCAGAGTGGACAGGGCTACTATGCGCTGGACCACTATCCTCCTCACTTGGTCCAGGAAAAGGCAGCTTGACATCCATCTTGTCTGTTAACTGTTTGGCCTCTTCTGCCCTTCCCCATGATTTACCCAAAGGTTCATTGTCACAGGATACTCTGTCTCTTTTGGATCTGGAGTTTGAAGGGCCTTCTGATCCAGATGTCTCCAATTCCTCCAAACTAAATTTACGTTTAGTTCTTGAACTCTTAGCTTTCCCTAGGTCATTCCTTTGGGCTAAAAATGGTCTGATTTTCTCCCATTCCTCTTTAATTACTTCATACTCGTATTCAGCAGTTTCTTTGTTTTCCAAAGGCACTCCCAACTGGATACGGTCTCCTTCAGCGATAGGATAGGCTTTTGAGGGATCCAGGCGCTGTTTGTTAAGCCAGACTCCATTTAGACTCTGCAAATGAAAAGAGAATCAGCAAAATTTAATATGCACTCAGAGAGGCCTCTGCAAGTTATTTCTGGCAACTGTAAACATATCCAACCTCTTCAGTGTTGCAATCAGAGCAAGCCACCTCCTTAAATAAACCTTGCAATATCCAATGTATTGCCTTAGTATCCCAGTTAATGCATTGTATTATCTACCATGCATTATTCCTGCATTACAGATTTTGTGTACAAGCACTAAGAACAACATTAATATATGTGCTTGTGCAGAAGGAAAAGAATGAACTCTAAGGGGAAAAAAACTACCCAAAAGCTTCAGTAATAAGAACTAACAAAAAAAAAGAAGATAACATAGAATATTGCAGTAATTATTCTTGACAATTATTGCACCTGAAATTCAAGAAGCAACTAGAAAAGAAAAAGGAGCATAGCTTATACTGCTTAAAGAAAAAAAAAAAAGAGACAGTTCTCCATAAATACAGGGCAAATATAAACAAGAAAGAAAATGTTCTTCTAGAGATAATATTCAAAGCAGAAAAAGGGGTTTTAAATTAGACACTAACTCAAGAAATAGTTTTGAAAAACAGCAAAACTGATCTGTGCTCAAGACGAACTGCAGAATCATTAACTGACATATCTCAAGGAGATTCAATAGAACAACTTGACAAATGGGTAGCAGTAATAACACAGAGGAAGTGTTAATAGTTAATCTACCACAGATGTTTCCAAGCATGCAACAACTGTTACATTTTCAAGTTTATACAAGTACTGCAACAGAGTTTTGTTTAAGAGCAGTGTAACTTTAATAGTAGCTACTCCATTCCTTTCTGACTAATCAGCTGTTGACTGAAACAACAGTCAAATCTGCATGATGTGTTGAACATTTTTGTTCTACCAGTGCTGTTTTAAAGCAAGTTACTGATTTTATAGTTTTCAGCCCAAATGAGAAAGTGGAGAGATTGTGATATAAAAACCAGATTACTGAAGTCAAAGTGAGACCTAGGTGAGGACTCTAATGTCAACACTTTATTCTAATCAGCTGAGAAGGACCTTCAGAAGAAACTCATTTGAGCATAACATGAAGCATGGTTTTTCTAACAATAGATTCTTCTTGTAGTTGATTGTATTAAAGCAATTGCGTCACTACATTAAGGAGTATCAGTTTATCCTTTCATTAGCAGTACAAGAATATTATCCTTTTGGATACTGCCAAGATTCATAGGATTTTTTTTTTAAGAAAGCAACAAAAAACAGGTTCACAGACTGCAAAGTGCCCTTGGCAAGACTATAATTGTCTGAAAAATGCTAAACCAAGAGATGAATCTATATACAGAAAGCAATACGGTTTGCATCCCAACTGCAGCAGACTGAAGCTTCCTGCTGGAAATGCACAACTGGCAAGACGCATTCCCGTAGTCCTTCTATCACATTTATACGATATTATATCATAGCCCATATATTGTTTGAGCCCAAACAGGGCATTCTCTTCAGTGAATCTCGGAGTACAAGGTCTTTAATCAGTCTCTGTACCTTGTTATCCTTGACAGTCCACTGCCCTTCTGCATTTTGCTGGAAAACACAGTGCTTACGAGAGATCATCAAGGGACAGGTTTTTGACACCAGCTGGTACGTGAGATCTAATCCTCGGCCTACAGTTACCTAAAAATAAAGTAGTTTAGTAACTGCAATCAGCAACAACATGGTAAATTCAGTTTATTTCATTTCAATGTACAATGTCATTTCAATATATGTCATTTCAATTTAAGTACAGCAGAAATCTATCTAGATTAGCATCTTATAGATATTTCCAAAGAGTTTGGGATAATATGATTTTAATTTTTTTTTTTTGCATTTAAATTCAAGAGTAGATAGAAAATTGAAATCTACAAAGTTTGAAGTATTCTCTTTCTCTCCCATTGACGAAAATTTGATTGTGCTAAGGCAGGTTACAGCCTTGGTTTCATGGAAACCTTCTGCAGCAGCAAAGCTGCTCAAAGCCACTCTCAATCCATCCATGTCCCACCTCAGTCATTACCTAACTAAACACCATTTCTTCTAACCAGTACAACTGTTTGCGGGTCTAAAGATTACTTCTTACCCTCTTCTTTCACTAGTTGCATCTGTTTAACTGTCTGTGAACAGTAAAGATACAGGAAAAAATAGCCCAGAAAAGTGCCACCAAGAAAATGGACATGTAAGCATGCCCTAAATGCACAATAGTTTTGTAAACCACACGGCTCAAACTGAGCTACATGCAGTTCATAACCAGTGGTGAAAGTGATCTAAATAATCTGATTAGACTCTAATCGCATCTTCTGGAAGAAGGGATGTAGTTTAATTGTACCGTTTCACAGTGTCTTCTTAAATCTGATCTAATTGCAGACTGCCATTTAAAGCATGGCTCTGCTCTCCCTCCCTCCGCTGCCTCCTTTGCAAGATCTGATAGTCATACACACCTTTCTTATTCATCTGTGTGTTGCACAAATTTTTCAGTCAGCTTATCATGTCATTAGACAACCGCATGGATCCAACATAATACAGCAGGAACACACAGCCACAAAAAGCAGGACAAACACCTTTTAGCAGAAGCCCACAGTTAAATCAGGTGAAGAATATTATAAAAGTGTGCTCTAGTTTTTATGCTTTAGATGAAGACTGCCCTTCTTTTCTCCTGCAATCCCAACTCACTTGTGTCACACCTTCCAATTCCTACAAGATGGCAAGATGCTGCAGTCAAGAGAAGTTCATTCACTACACATTACCTGAGCAGGCCTCACCTTGAGTTTAAAGCAAGAACTCGGACTCCCATGTCACAACTAAATGCAAGGAAGCAAACTGAGATCATGAAATACCTAAGCACGTTGGTCCCTACCTCTTAAACACTTGATATATATTAGTGTTCTGTCAACTTGGATTGCATATGTAAGAGGTACAGAGACTCAGGTGGATAAAGACTCCTGTTATTCACACTCAGTCACGCGCATCTGATACAATTAAGCCCAGGTAGGGCCAGTCACAAAAATTCCCCTTGATCGAGTTCATTGAGCATCAGGGGGGGCTGAGACATTACCACTCGCCTGCTGGAGTTCGCTGCTGCCCACATGGTACCAGCAGATCACAGCACATCCCCACACCTCAGCAGTGCAGTTTGGCACCGACATTTAAATCCCCAATGAAAGCAGTTTGTGCTAACATGCCAGCCTGTGGCCTGGCAAGCCTGTGGTACTGGGATGCTGTCAGTCCCCCTGTTGCCTGTGACAAGGACTGTAGGGCTGTGCGGATGATCGGAGTAATAACATCTTGAACGAGATTCTCTGCACAATTAACAGAGCCCTGGCTGCAAGTTTTGCAGATGTACAACTCAAGGCCTTCACGGACCATACTTGCACACCTCCTGGCTTCAAATCCATAATGGGAGAGTAATAAAACTATACCTCTGCTTAAAGAGTTGCCTAGCATTGAAAGAAGAGTTAAGAGGGGTACCTTTTGCAACGTGTACGCAGAAAGGTATTAGGTACAAGGTGAACCCGCAACGCCTAACCTCCTGATTCCGAGCCCTAGATCGGCAATCCTCTTACAGTGCCCCAACCCGCGTCTCTGCCTGCTGGGTTTGAGGGAAAGAGCCCAAGGACCCATTTGGGCTTTCCAATTAAAAAACATGATCACTGAAAAAGGGTTATTCCTGTGCCATACCGAAACAGGTTTAAAACGTGACCTCGTTTACACCTGAATGACTTAAGCCACAACACTCAAACACGCTTACCATTAGCCTCACCAAAGCATCACCTTGTTAATTAGGCTAAGGATTCCCACCCCCCACTTTACGTTTCTGTCACAAGCAACTCCTACCTAGACACGAGATCGTCTTAAAAAAGATTAACGACCGAAGGCTTGGCAAATCGGACTGAGGCGCCTGCTCTCACGCCCGCGCCCCGCTCTCCGCTGCCTCGCACGTTACCGGTGCTGAAACGCGCCGGTTCTGGCCGCTGCTCCCCGCCGCCTCGGCCCCTGGGAGCGCCGGGCAGCGCCCCGCTGAGCCGCCCCGCGGGGAGGCCGGGCGCGCACCGGGGTGAGCGGCCGGCTCCTCCGAGCGGCAATTAACAACGGCTGCTCGTTAACCGGGACGGGACGGGACTTCTTCCTCCCGGGAAAGGCGTGAAGGAACAACGCGGCTCCCGAAACAAAGCGCGCCGAGGGCCGCTCGCCCCCTACCCCGCGCGGCCCGGGGAGGAGGACGCCACGACGGGGCTCGGGCCGAGCGGCGCCGGTAACGGCCCCCCGCCCCGGGCGGCGCCGATGGCCGCACCTCGGCTGCCCGACTCCTCCGAGGGGCCGGAGCCCGCAGGGAGCCCGACCCGGCCCGGCCCGGCTCACCTGCGTGCCGGCCTCCAGCAGGAGCCAGTCGCCGCTGACCCCGACCCGGCGGAGGCACCAGGCCAGCCGCGAGGCCCCGCGCGCCGCCATGGCGTCCGCCCGCCCCGACAGGCGGGAGCAATCGCTGCGGCAGCGCCGGCGCTCCCGTGAGACGGAGAGCGTAGCGGCCGCGCAGCACCCAACAGGCCGGCTAATCGAACCCAGAGCGCGAGAAGAGGCTGCGCGTGCGCCCTAGGAGTCAGCGGGAAGATAGCGGTGACCCCCTCAGCAGCCGCGCCCCATAGCGGTCCTCCGCTATCCCATCGGCCCCTCCAGCCTACGGCCTTCTCCCCGCCCCTTCCGGAAACCGCGGCGCCGCCTTCCGCCCTCGGCCACTAGGGCGCCAGCTGGCCGGCTGCGGCGACGGCTGTTGCTGTTGGCGGTGCCGTGGCGCTGCAGCCCCCGCCGCGGGGCTGCCGGCTGCCCGCCGGCGGGGCAGGTCCGCGCCGCCTTCCTCCGCTTCTTTGAGGAGCGCCACGGCCACCGCCGCCTGCCCTCGGCCCCCGTCCGGCCCCGCGGCGACCCTCACCTCCTCTTTGTCAACGCGGGCATGAACCAGGTGCTTCCCCCCACCTCCACCGGCCTGCGTTCGGCCCGGGGGTCCGGCTTTCGCCGCCTGCGGCCCGCCCCCGAAGGTCCCCTCCACCGGCTTCCCGGGCCCGCCGCGTCTTGGGGTAGCCCCTTTCACGGCGATCTCCTGCGGTGGGATGGGGTCCCGCGCGGGCTGCCCTCCGGTTCGCCTCTCGTAGTGCCGTGTCTGTGTTTCAGGAGGCCCAGGCACAGCTCCCAGCGCTGGGTGGCATCTAGCAACAGCGGGTGTCTCTCTGCCTTGATTTCTAGTTCAAGCCCATTTTCCTGGGCACGGTGCACCCCCGAAGCGAACTGGCACAGCACCGGCGGGTGGTGAACAGCCAGAAGTGCGTGCGGGCAGGTGGGAAGCACAACGACTTGGAGGATGTGGGCCGCGATACTTACCATCACACATTCTTCGAGATGCTGGGGAACTGGTCCTTTGGGGATTACTTTAAGGTGAGGCGATAGGAGCAAACCCTCTCCAGGGGGAAATGCGGCCTTTTTTTCAGAGCTGTGCTGTAGTGCCACAGGACTGTCTGCAGAAGGCATTTTAGTAAGCTCCAAATTACCTTTTGGGAGCTCTGTGGCCTGGAGCAGAGGCAGTCAGGTGGTGTGCTGAATCACTAAATGTGCCCTGCAGACTCTTAAAGCGCTCAGCCTTTTGAAGCTGTGAACAACATGCACAAATCAGAGTTCTTTGTGTGAATGCCAGTGTTGACCATTTAATGTGGTGAAAGAGGTTTCCCGTTCATTTAATGCTTGTTACTAGAAAGTTTGAAAAGGGAAGAAGGATAAAGGGTGCTAGTTGTTTTGCTAGTGAATACATTTTTTCCTTGGAAAGAAAATAATACATGTAACAGCTACTAAGCACGTGGCTGTAGACCATGCTGCGAACCTGAGGGTCTCCCAACAATTTAAAAATGTCAGTTTTTCACAGGCAGGAGTGAGCCATCTCACTCGCCTGACCCTCATCCTGCTCTTTGCAGTGCACCTTAAAACTTGAAAGGGAGAGAGCAGCTGAAATTAACTTCTTTGGTGTTTGACTCCCATTCTAAAGAGCCTTCCTGCAACACTATGCATCCTGGATTACTGTGCTTTGCTTATTTTTCCTGCCTGCTCAGGAGGAGGCATGTAGCATGGCCTGGGAGCTCTTGACAGAGGTCTATGAGATTCCTAAAGATCGTCTCTATGTCACCTATTTTGCTGGAGACTCGTCACTGGGACTGAGCGCAGATGAGGAGTGCAGGGATGTATGGCTCTGCCTGGGGTAAGTGTGTTACAGAAGAGATTCTGAGCAGGAGATGCTGACATTTCAGTCTCTGTAGTCTCCCATTTGCTATTTAGTTGATGGGAATCAGATGTAGGGGCCAAAAGTTGTGTCTTAAATTCATTTTGTTTCTGGTTTGTTTGGGCTGTTAAAAGTCAGCTGGGCTCTGAGTGCTCTGGGGCGCTTGACCTTTAAGCTGTTTCTCAGATGTTATCAATCTGGGGGGCTGTGTACCTAAGACTAGCTGGCCTAGGTGAAGTGTGTGAAGGATCTCTGATCCTTTTCTTCCTCTCCATCATGAGCTGTGGAGAGTACATTCACTGAAGCTAGCAATGGCTGCTTCAGTGTGAGGATGAAGCTGTTGCAGAGAGCACTTCCGTGCTTTGGGAGCTTGTTCCAGGCTGTATGTGGGCTTTGAACCCAAGGCAGCCAGTTCTGTGCCACTGTTGGTGTTCAGCCTTGTCCATTGTGATCAGGTCTTAGCTCTGCTGGAGTTCCTTCCAAGGAGGAAGGTGGGTCCACAGACCCAGTAGAGAGCCTGCCTCTGTCAGCAGGAGCCAGACTGTGTTTGCCAGCTATTCTGGGCAGTGAGTAGGATCCTGTCTGGTTTGGTCCAGCTTGTTCCTGCTAAGGAGAGTAACTCTGTGTGAACAGAAGCAAAGGAATCCTAATGCGTTTGGTTACTGAGTTGTAGTAGTCAGAAAGGATTCCTCCCTTCCAACTTTCTCTGTGATCTAGGCTACTATGTGCTTTGTGTGCATGCCCCAGCACTGCCACCTCTGTTTGCCTTTCCAGGGTGCCTGCCAGTCATGTGCTTCCTTTTCCATTGAAGGACAACTTCTGGGAGATGGGGGACACAGGTCCCTGTGGTCCCTGCACAGAGATCCACTATGACCACATGGGTGGTGGCAGAAATGCTGCGGCACTGGTGAACCAGGGCAGCCCCGATGTAGTGGAGATCTGGAACCTGGTCTTCATGCAGTATAGCAGGTACCAGGCATCTGGTCTGAACTCCAGAGCCTTTCCTGCTTGTCTGACTCCAGAATCATACATGTTTATTTTCAGACATCTCACTGCTTTCTGGGAGGTGGCAGTACAGGAGCAAGAGGGAATCTCTGGAGATGTGTCCAGTGTGGCTCTTGGTCCCCTTTGCTTTATTTGTCCTGTCCTCCTTCAACCTCTGCTGCCTATTCTCCCTCACTGCTGCATCCCAGAGGTCTCTTGAGGTCTGCAGCAGGCCGGAGAAACCTGCAGAAGGAGGAGAAGGCCGTGGGCCCCTGTTCAGGGAAGGCCTTTTTCCCTACATAACAGTCTATCCTGGCTATCTGAGGGTCGGATCCTGGCTGCCTGACAGTGCCGAGGCAGGCTGCTGTTAGTTTGTCCCTGAGCTTCCTTTTGTGGGGTCACCTGCTGTTTCCATCCCCTGTCACTCTCCCATTCTCTTTGACTCACCTGCTCCTTTTCTTTGCCCCTGAAGTGACCCTCGCTTCTCCTTTGCCTTTTATTTTTCCTGGGTGGCTGACAGAGAGGTAGAGGGGAATCTGCTTCCCTTGCCGCAGCACCACGTGGATACAGGAATGGGCCTGGAAAGGCTGGTGACAGTTCTGCAGAACAAACGCTCCAACTATGACACAGATCTCTTCACTCCCATCTTGGATGCCATTCACAAGGTGATGGTGCTTCTGCTCAGAGTCACAGCTAAGCAAAAGCCACTTGAATGCAGACTGCTTGTCTGGTACCATAGTACTGCCTTCTCTACACGTGTTACTGTGCAGTATTTTGAGACAGGAGTTGTGTCAAGCCAGGTCCAGAGCAGCATTCTAGGGAAACTGGGGAGAATTGCAGGTTGAAAATCTGCTGGGGTATCAGCACTGCTGATCCATTTTTCCTCCAAAGTTTCTTAAATTCCGCAGTGCCAGGGCATTGGCTGACCTGTCTTAGGTACGGAAGTCTTTGTATATAATGCTCTGGAAGGATTTAATGAGTACCTCTTAGATGCACAAGGTTCAGAGGTAGTTGAGAAACATGATGTCAAGTGTAGCTGGCTGCCTCTTGCATTGAAACTTTTTCCTCCTGCAGCCATTAATTTCTGCTGATCTGTCTCCTTACTTTCTCTTTTAGGGCTGTGGGGGGCCCAGATACCAAGGCCTGGTCGGGGATGCTGATGTTGGGCATGTGAATATGGCCTACCGTGTGGTGGCAGATCATGTGCGCGCCCTGTGCGTGTGCATCACTGATGGCATCTACCCAGGCTTCTCTGGAGCAGAGTAAGGACATAAGGAAATGGCATGGGGTGGAGGGAGTTAGGTCTAGAAATGAGTATGGACAGCCAGGGGAGAGGTTCTGGTGTAAGCCCAAGATGGGGGAGTGCACGAGCTTTGGGGAGGCAGGAAGGTGAGCGCCTGGAAGTGGTTCTGATCTGCAGGCTTATCCTTGGATGGGTGTAGAGTGTGGGGAGCAGCTGACCTGTGGCAATAGATGAGACCAGAGGACCTGGAGAGGGGGCTGTGCTCGATGTGGGATCTGGGCAGGGATGCTCACATGGCTGCCTGGCGAATCCTGCCCTGCTTTCAGACTGGTGCTGCGTCGGATCCTGCGCAGGGCTGTCCGTTTTTGCTCTGAAGTCCTTCACGCTCCACCTGGGCTCCTGGCCTCCCTGGTGCCTACTGTAGTGGAAGTGCTGGTGAGTAAAAACTGCTGCCTTGGGGGAAGAAGTGTCACATGTGTCTATTCAGCCCCATGTCCCTTTCCTGTACACTGTCAGGAGACAATCTTGGATGTAAAGATGCTCCAGGAGGGTGTAGCTGGTGCTATGCATCACAGCAGTAAAAAAATCTCGTCTCCTGATCATTTGTGATGGGAGGGAGGGGGCCTACTGTGACCAGCGGTACGGTCAGCACAAGTGTGTGTATAAGTGTATACAAGCACATGTTGCTGTTTCCTGAGGGCAGTGGCTTCCAGGCTGTTGCATCTGGTTAAAGCCGTCTGAAATTGGTCCCTGTGAGTACTAACAGCATCCTAAAAGACAATGCTTTCTTCCCATTGTAAATGGATGTGTTTGCCAAGAGATGCTGTGCCCCCAAGAGGGGCTAGCAGAGGTTGGAGATACCCAGGAGACAGCAACTGAAAGTCCATGTGTGATTCTTCCCCTGTGCTGCTGTCCATGGGGCTGTGTGCTAGGGTTCCTTTCACACTCACCTGCCTGAGAAACCTCTATAATGCTTGTGGCATGCTGTGAGATCCCCCGAAGAAGATGCTGAGGATGTTATCACTAACTGAGGCTCACTCCACAGGGAGATGCCTATCCAGAGCTGACAAAGAATGCAGACCAGGTGAGCAGTGTGGAATCCCCTGGAGAGAAACCCTGTCTCTCATTATCTTTGTGAGGCACTGCTCTCAGGGGCAGAAGTCAGCCTTTCCTTGGGACTTAGCTGGAGGAGTTTGCATAGCCTCCTCCATCACCATGTTCTCATGGGCGGGCTGAGATGGGCTGGGAACATGTTTGTATCCTGGGTACGAGAAGTATCTGTGGCAGATTTCCTTGTGGGTGCTCTACTAGATTCTTACCAGGGACTGCTTGTCCTTGTATAAGGCAGCAGTTGCCCTAAAAAAGCTAGGGTGGCTCTTTCGTTGAGTGCAAGTACAGCCTGTCCTAGCCTGGGTACCCTTTGTCCAAAGCCGATTGGTGATTTAAGGCTAGTCCTGGCTTGCTTCTGCTGACAGCAACTGTGATGAGCATTTTCTCTGGCTGTTCCAGCCATGCAGTTTTAATTGGGTCACAGACATGAACGTCTCACAGGGAGCATTTGTCAGCCTCCAGCCTTCCCCAGGTGGATGGTCAACATTCCCTTGACAGGAGTGGCGATAGGAAGTGCAATGACTTTGGCACTGTTTAGTAATGCATTGGGGCGATTTTGTGATGGATCCTTACAGAACAAAAAGGCTGGTTCAAGCAGACACAGTACCCCTGTTAAACACATACTTGATTTGCTTTGAGCTGACTGTAGCAGAGCTGAGCTGGGGAACTACCTGAGGTGTTACGGCTATCCCTTCTGATCCTTGGGCAGATCATGGATGTCATCAATGAGAACGAGGCAGCATTTCAGTCCTCCCTTGAGCGTGGGAGGCGTATCATTGAGCGAACAGTGCAGCAAATGGAGCCCTCCACAAATTTCCCGGGTGAGTGTCCCTGTTCTGACAAGCTGCACTAAAAGAGGGTTTGATCCAGGTCCTCACAAGCATTGCAGTCAAAACTGGTGGATGTTTGCCTCCCCCATGTGTTTTCAGTGACCTTCTAGCCCCAGGCAGAGGAGCAGATGTTGCTCCTTTCTCCAGATTGCAATTGTTCTCATGACACACTAGGCACCAGACAAGTTAGAAACAATCCCTTGCTGCTTTATTGACTGATTAACTAGGTCCTTACAAGACACAGTTGAAAGAAGGAGCTCAGGACCCAACCAGTGCAGCTGCCTGTCTAGATGTGCTACACTGAGTTTTAGCAGGGATGGGGCTGTGGAGCATCATTAATACTCAGTCCCATACGAGAACAACTGCATGGCTTCTTTCCCCTTCCCCATTACCAGTGCAGTTGCACACAACACAGGTGAATCTGGTTACCAAGGCACACACTAGATTGGTCCCATCCAAGCAATCTTGAGATGCCTTTGCTTTCTGTGTTCACACAGAGTTCATGTCCTTCTTTTTGTCCTGCAGCTGAAGTAGCCTGGTCTCTTTATGGGAATTTGGGATTCCCTCTGGATCTGATTGACTTGATCCTTGAAGAAAAGGGAATCAGTTTGGATTCAGCTGCTTTTAATGAACTTGCTCTAGAAGATGCAAAGGTGAGACATGCCTTGTCAGAATAATTCAGAGCCTTCCCTTTCTCCTGAGAGCATGGAGGCAGAATTCCTTTCACTGCTGAGGCTCTTCAGATGCACCACAAGGCCATGTGTCTTTTCGCTGAAGGGGAATTGGGTCTGAAACAGCACTGTGGTCACAATGCCTTTGCTCATGGATGTGGCACTGAAAAGTATTGGCTAGTGATTCTCTTCAGGTCAGTAGAAGTGTTTTATGATGCTGACTGTTGCTGGCGTGAAGGTTATCATAGAATTATATAGGTTAGGACTGTCCTCAGTCAGATAGTCCAACTCCTTGCACAAATCAGAGCCAGCTTAGACAGCCCAAACAGCATGTGATTTATGAAGAGTTTACAAAACCTCCTTGGTCTCTGTAGTGCTGGAAGACTTGCACTGCCCTCCTGTGCAGTAATTGGTTCAGGGCCTTGTTCTTCTGAGCTTTAATGGCCTGGAAGTTTCACGGCTACACAGCAAGCTGTGCTGGGAGGGTTGTGTTAGCTGTTGCTTATAGCCTGCCTCAAGGCTAGCATAGGGTGGTATTGAGTGCTTGTGGGGTTTGAAGGAATGGGGTTGGTTTAGCAGTAACTTCCATCAACCTGGATCTAAACAAGCCTTTTCCAAGAAGGTGGAAGAAGTTGTTCCTAGTCTTATAGCTCCAGTTGTCAGTTTGAGTGCCCCCAGGTATCTCCCATCTAACTGTGCCTTTTCTCGTGCTGTAGCGGAAGGCTGGTGGCCCACCGGCAGGACAGCTGGAGGACACAAACACACGCCTTGATGTGCACTCACTGGCTCAGCTGCGAAGCAACAATGTGCCTGCTACTGATGACTCTCCAAAGTACGCCTACACACTTGGGCAGCACGGGCAGTACGGTAAGTGGCCAGGTCCCGTCTGTAAGGCATGCTCTGCCTGAGGGTGCTTGAATCCCTCACAAGACTGCTTTTACTGCCTAACCTCATGCATGCAGAACATGTACTTTGTGGTTCAAACCTGTCCACCTTGCTACTGCATCTTTTCTCTGCCCCTGTACCTCATCCCAAAGTAGGTGCTTTTCTTATTGCTGTTGGTGTGTCTCCCAGAAGGCTCTGGGCTGGTATTACTGTGCAGTGGTGAAGCAGGGATTGTTGATTTCTGATAAAGATGAGTCTGTCCCCAACAATTAGGCTCCTGGGCATGAGCGCTAGGGAGAATGCAGAATAATTATGCAAAGAGCTAAGGTAGGTGTCTAATGCCGTGCACTTGCTATTTCTTTGGCAGACCACTAGATGCCAGTGCAGGCTTTTTTATCGGTTGGGGTAACTGAGGTTGCTGATGCTCTAGGGAAAGCATTAAGCTAAACCACAGAGAGTAAGAGGTGGTGTGGCTGTCACAAACAATTAGAGATAGCTGTGTACAGCCAGCTCCCTCTTACCCAGTGTGCTGGTGGCAACCCCCACTAAGCAGAAAGTGAGGCAATTCAAGCTATATATACTATGGCAAGAGCACAATGGAGGAGAAAAGCTCAGCAGTGACATTGGCTAAAATCTCCAAGCTAGAACTGTTCTACCTCCTCAGTCTCTGAATCATGGAATAGTTCAGGTTGGAGGGGATCTCTGGATGTCCAATCTCTTGATCAAAGAAACATCAGCTTCACAGTCAGATCAGGTCGCTCAGAGCCTTGTCCATTTAAGTTTTCGGTATCGTTAAGGACAGAGATCCCACATCCTCTCTGTTTCCTGTTCTTTATCACTCTTAGCGTGAAAAGTTTTTTTTTCCTTTATGTACAGCCAGAATTTCCTGCACTCTAGATGTAGTCTCACAAATGCTAAATAGAGATGAATAACCACTTTCTTTGACCTGCTAGCTATGTTTGTGTTCATACATCCCAGCAGGCAGGCAGTCTTCCTTGCTGCAGGGGCACCCTGCTGACTTGTGTTCAGCTTGCTCCTGAGGACCCCAAGGTTTCTGTCAGTCCATTTCTGAAGCCTGCTGAGATGCCTCTGAAAAGCAGCCCTGCTCTTCAATGTGTCAACCAGTCCCCACCAATTCATTGCCATACACAAGCAGGATAGGGGTACATCCCATCTTGTCATGGATAATCATTAATGAATATGTTAAATGGTGTTGGCCCTAACAGCAGCCACAAAATATCTCTACTAGTAACTGAATATCAGTTGAACATTGAACTATTGAGCAATTCTCTGTGGGGCCAGCTGCGCAGCCAGTTATACATCCACCTTATGGTCTACCTGTCCAGTCCATATTGCCCAAATTTGGCTTCAAGGAGCCTACAGGAGAGCACGTTAGAAGCTTGCTGCATCGAGGAAGGTGACGTCCCTTTCATTCCTTGTCCACCAAGTCTGTCGTCTCTTCAGAGAAGGCAGGCAGGTTTGCCAAGCTTGCAGGGTAGCAAGCTGCAGGTGTGTCTGTGCCACATCTTGTTCTATCAGGCTCATTTAGAGCCAGATTGGGCATCCCTGCCTGCTTACCTGCTACTCAGCAGGTCTGTCACTAGGTGAGGGGTGACTTAGTTCCAAATAACAGATCCTTTGTCCTTTCTGCCAATAGCTGTTGCTTTCCTCTCAAGGCAAAGTGCCAGCTTTCAGTAAGACTGGGTGTTGGTAGGGTTGGCATGAAGGAGTGACCCTCTCCTTTCCTGTTGCAACCTCTCAGGGTGTATGCACTAAATGCTGCCACCTTCTTCACCCTGACAGAGTTCAGCCCATGCCAGGCCACTGTCCTGATGCTGTACAGAGATCAGTCTCTCCAGAAGGAGGTTGGGGCAGGGCAACGCTGTGGTGTCATCTTGGACAGGACTAACTTCTATGCAGAGCAGGGCGGGCAAGCTTCTGACCAAGGCTACATGATACATTTAGGACAGCAGGTAAGACCATTTGCTGCCTGAACCCAAGGCTGCCATGGGTACTGAGGCCAGGCAGAATTCCCCAAGTGGTGGCCTGTTTTACTCTGTTCATTTGCAAGCTGCTGACTCATGACAGTTTCCTTGGCTTTGCATCAGGGTTGGTGGGGTGAGGGAGAAGCAGCAGTAACTTCACAGAGGTGTACTTGCTGCTCTGTTTGTCTCTTTCAGCCCTTTGCAATTTTGTCTTGGTGGGGAAGAATGTAAAGTCTTTCTGGGTTTCCCTTCAGTCTGCTGCACTCTCGCCAGCTGGGGTTGTAATGCAGAGAGAAGGCAATCAATGATCAGAGAGTCCATGAGCTGAGTAACTTGTCTCTGGCCAGTCCTGGATGACTGCAAGCAGTGCCCAACCTGAGACCCAGTGCAAAAACTCTCATCCCTCCAAAAGCATCGTGGAGGACCTCTACTTCTGCAGCATGTTCCTTCAACCTTGCCCAAGGGAGAGCTTTGACACTCTCCTAGGAAGTTACATGGGGTGCAGCTTTTTCTCCTTCCCATATTCCAGCTCTTGAGAATCACCCCTGGGCATTCGTGCTGCCTTTTTAGCCTTGCAGAATGTGATAGTGCCTTGCTCAGCACTTCTCCCCAAGCTGAAGCAAGGATCAAGTTTCTGTTGCCAGCCCAGTGAAGGAGAAATGGCACCTTGGATGCCTGAGACAGATGCCCGAGACAGATGCCTTGGCAGCTGCTGTCCATTTTCTCATGGACAAGCATCTTTGTTAGGAAAATTCATCAGCATGGGGGATGTTACTGCCCCTCCACTGCAAGCTGACAGCCTCAACATGTTGTGCAGCAAGTGGCTGGGTGCAGGGAAGGTCTGAGGCATGCTGGTTACATTTGCAGTAAGCTTCTCCCTGCTTTTCCCACTCTATCCCTGTCTTTTAGCAATCAGTGGGGGTTGTGTTTCCCAGTTGGATCAAGCAGGCACCTACCACAGGTATTTGGATTTTCCCTGTGTCCTAACTCATCTTTCTGTCTCTCTGCTCAGGACATACTCTTCCCTGTAGAGTCTGTTCGTCTCTGTGGTGGTTATGTGATCCATGAGGTCACTGCTGTTGAAACCCTCCGTGCTGGTGACCAAGTGCAGCTCTTTGTGGATGAGGTGATAACTCACTGCTCTTAACCTTTTCCCAGCCTTGCTTTGAGAGTCTTGTGATGTCCTGAGTAACCTGGGCACAGTAGAGCCTTGTCCCTTGTATTCCTGAGACTGCTCTTCATTGTGATGTGCAGTGGGAAGGAGACCTCACAAGTGAATCTTCTATGAGCCATTGGTCTGTCTAGAAGCATCCAGCCTAACCTTTGCTATTTTACAGATGTGATCCCATGGGGAAAAGAAGTTAGATCTGCCCTGTGACATAAATTAATCTGACAGCTGTACTACCCATTGTTTTTCCCCCCATCTTCTCCCATCCCCTCACATGCAACCTTTCCCTTATCTCTATGCCATCCCCTGCTCCCCTGAGCTGTGGAGAACCAGCACTTCCTGCCAACTTGTCTGTCCTTTCAGGCCCAGCGGCTGGCCTGCATGACGAACCACACTGCTACCCACCTGCTGAACTTTGCACTCCGCCGCATCCTGGGTGACAACACAGAGCAACGAGGGTCCCATGTGACAGCAGAGTGGCTGCGCTTTGACTTCGATACCAAGGTTACTCTGGACTTTGTTTTCTTTTCTCAGCAGTACCAATGTCCCAGTACTGGCCTTCTCTCCAGGGATTCTTCTCCTCTCGCCATAATGACTCCTTTAGAGATAGGTTATGTTTTATTTGAGCAATGAAACTTGGCCCTGTGGACATGACTGGCTCCGCTTTGCACTGACCTGACTCTAAGCAGGGCTTGCTGAGGGTATGAATGGGGGTCAGAAGGGAAAGGACTTAGCAAGGCCAGTGGTCATGGGACTGACCCGAGTAGTGCAAAGGGGTCTTTGAGAGATTCACCAGCTTGGCTGTGGCACATATCTGATGTCTGTGCTGGTCATCCAGGTGAGAGCAGTTGGGAACTGAAAGCTGTTGGGTCAGGCTGAGCACTGGCCCTGGTAACCTGTCACTCATTGCAGCATCTCTCTTGAAGAGTTTGGTTGATGCTCTTGGATCAAGAATCCTTATGACTCATGGGAGGAGGAGGTGGGAGGGTCATGATGCTTACAATTCCCTTTTACAAATAGGGAAGATGAGACACGGGGAGAGTGGTGTGCCCAAGCTGAGTTGCCTGGGGGCCCTACAGCAGTTCTCCTTCCTTTGTTCTGTACCTCGCAGGAGGCTTCTCCTGAAGGTGGCTGATTGACTTCCTCAGGGCCCTGTGACTGTGGAGCAGCTGCAGCAAGTGGAGCAAGTGGTCCAGGATGTGATCAAACGAAATGAGGTTGTTCATACGGCTGAGGTGCCCCTCATGCTGGCAAGAAGAGTTCAGGGACTCCGTGCAGTGGATGAGGTATGACAGGATGGCAGCACGCATCTTCATAAGCCTTCTACTTCAGCAGGAATCATCTGGACCACAAGAGATGTTGACGGAACAGGTTTCTGCAAGGGAATTGACTCCCAAAACTCAGGAAGGAAAATAGAACAGAGATGACATCTCGGGACACTGTGTTGTAAAACATGGAGGCTGGGATGTGTAGGGTTTCTGCTCGTTTCTTTGCACCAAAAGCTTGTAGTGTCACCCAGTTATTTCTTTCTCCCCATGGTGGCTATCTGTGGGGGAGAAGCAGTGCTGCCCCTGACCCAGGCTACTCTAGAATAGGGGAAAAATGAGGCAGACACCTGAAGCCAGTTAGTCTGTAAGTGCCCCTGAAGCACCATGTTGTTAGCTGCTGATCCCTGTCTCCTCTGTCAGGGGTATCCAGATCCAGTGAGGATAGTGTCCCTGGGGGTCCCTGTGGAGAGTGTGCTGACCTGCAACTCTGAGGCTGCAATGCAGACTTCTGTGGAGCTCTGCTGTGGGACGTAAGTGACTTTTACTTGCAGTCAGAAGGTGTGTTTGTGGGCGCTGGTGGCTGAGGTAGAGACATTCTTGCAAGCTCTACTCCCTGTCCCTGTGCGACTAAGTTTCCTCACTGAAAAGATCATCTGAGGACAGGATGGGCTAGTTAGGAAGCTTTGGAAGTCTGAGGGTGAGAAAACTTTAGTGAAATGCAAAGCGGTTTTCCTTGCTTCATAGTCTGAAATCAACGTGGAAGCTGCAGAGCACCAGCAGAGTGTGGGAAAGGGATGTGTGGCCTATCACACCAGAGTTACGGTGCTTTGGCTTTGAGGTTGCAGGAGGGCTGGGGACCCAGCAGGAGACTCTGAGACCGTTGTGAGATTTTGAGGCTGCTCTGATTATTTTAATTAGTTATCTTTGCCCTCTTCTGCTTTGAGCAGTAATGAGAGCAGAAGAAGAGTTAATCAATCTTAGGACAATGCTGACACAAAAAAAAAAAACAGGAACAAATTGGCCTTTGAGCAGATACAGCTGAAAATGAGCAATTTCTAGTCATGAGATCATTCTTGTGGGTGTAGTGGGACAAGATGGGAGTGGAGATGATCAATTCTTGTGAAGCTGTCTGAAATGACTACTTGTGGTAACAGAAGCTGAGACACTGTAGTTGTTTTCATATCCAGTGTTGAATAGCCAAGAAGGAAAGGGGAGGTTGTCAGTGCCCTGTCACTGCACAACTACTCCATGACTGGAGTCTACTGGCCAGTCTGTGAGCTGGTCTGACAAGAAAGTGGTGGAGTTGGAGGAAAAAATTACTTTCTACAAGGTTCAGTAGCAGCTGAGTAGAAGAGAAAAATCCCAATTCATTGTACTGCTGAAGGAAAGGAGAGGAAAGCAAAGCAGAACTTAGCTGTTATGCACCATTTGACAGCAGCCTGCTGGGCAGGTAGCACAGAGGTTCCTCTCGAGTAGCTTCAACTCTGCTGTCTCTTGCCTGACAGGGTGCCATCAGGATTTTAGGGATTGTAAAGGAATGAAGCTATTGGGATTGGGGAGAGACTGCTGGACTTGAGACTTGTCTTTGCAGGCTTCCTGATTTCTGTTCCCAGAGAGCAGCTTATTCTCTTTCCTGTTCTCTGCTGACTTTGCAGGCACCTTCTACAAACAGGAGCTATGGAAGATCTGGCCATCATCAGTGAGCGTCAGCTTGTAAAAGGGATTAGCCGTGTCATTGCAGTGACAGGGAGACAAGCCAAACAGGTAAGAAAGAGGGAACTGAGATTTCTGCCATGTCAAGGCAATGCCAGAGGGACCCAGCTTTGTAAGGTTCCTGCATAGGCAATTAGTTTCCCCCTGCTTTGCCTGGAGCCTCCCTGCTGTGCCTGATCTGTCTTCCTCCCTCAGCCCTGGACTCAGCCCTGCTGCTGTACCTCACTATTCACCTCCACTTCCCCTTTCCTAGTCTCCTGTCTCCTTGACCTTCATTCCTCCCCTCAGACCCCCTTTTCCAAGATAACAACTTGGCACAAAATATCGGGAAGCATCTGGACTATAAATTTCAATCCCCAGGTAGGTATTTAAAGGTGTGATTCTTTGTGCTTTGGTTTCACCTCCTGCTCACCTCCTGCCTATCACAGTTGGATTTGCACTTTATGATTACAGGGCTCTGGCCTCATTCTTGCAGCCCTTTTCCTTCTTTTCTTTAGTCTTTTTCCTGCTAAACTGTGGTTCTGGTCTGGCTGGGTCTGTATAAAAAGTAAGAAACCTACTGTTGGGTCCATGGGATCGCTCTGTCCTTTGAATATCTGGAAGTGTCAGGGGCCCCACAAGCTTGCCTGCTTCCTTTAAGGCTGCAGTCAGAGTAGAGTGACTCACTGTCACTGGGAAGTTACTGTGAATTAGGAAGACTAAAGGCAAAGCCCACCCCTGCAAATCTGTTGCTTTTTGGCTGGCTATCCCCTGTGCATCTGTGTCCCTAGCAAGGCTTTTCCTCATGCAGGGGAATGAAAAGCTGCATGGGGCATCTGCATGCCTTGCTGGAAGTACTGACCTGGAGATCCCCCAAGAGAAGCTGTGTGCATGTGTTAATCAGACAAGGGAGATTGCAGGCATGAGGGAGTGACTTGAAACAAGGGATGTGTATCCTAGCTAGGCAGAGTAGTCTTCACTGTCCATGGCTTTTCTTATATACTCTCTGCTGTCCTGGTCTAAAGTCTTGCAGGACCACCATGGGCACAAAGATCTGGCAGGGAGAAAATGCTCCAAACCGTACGGATTGTATTAGGTTTTTTTATTAATAGTAGCATTAGTGTTAGGGGAAAGCGATAAGAAATACACCAAGATCAGCTGAACTCAGGAAATAAGCTTGAACAGCTGACGAGGTTCCTTTAGTTTTAGTGTTCCTTTAGCTTCTCCAGTCAGTAGTTTCAAGATTGCATTTGCTAATGAAAAAAGAGCACTAAGACATAAATGGGTGTTACGGATGCATGACTAACCAATTCCAACAGGTGTTAAAACTCAGATTTATTCTTCAGTAAAAGTTAGTTAGAAGTCCGGTAACATTTTCTAAAACCACAGGCTCAATGATGTAAAGAGAATTAATACTACACGGCCGACTTAAGAATCCCCAAGATTTAAAGTGATGGCTCAAAATGCACATATCACTCACCTAAAAGCTGAGGGCTCTCTCCCTTGAGGAGTTACCTTGGGCAGTGCCCCGACCCAAGGGGGAGTCCCCGACTGCTGACCTGCTGCTCCGAGGAGGACTGCCAACATGTCCTCCGGCGGGACCCCGTTTATACCCCTGTCGAATCTGACCTGTGGTCATTTAATCCTGTTGGCCAGGAGAGTCACCTCGGTGTACTTGGCGCATCTCGCTTGGCCAGTTCAAATTTCAACCTGCGGCCTCCAGGGTTTCCTTCGCCTTCTCCCTTCCTGGAGAAGTTTTGTTTCCTGCTGGCAGGATGGGGGGGGGGGGGGGGGGGGGGATGTTCCCCCACAATGGGGTTCCCAAGTTTTTCTTGAAATCCTGATCATTTGGTGCACGATACTGAAGAAACATAAATGCACAACAGCTTGGTCCCCTGGGTGTGACCATCTAGTGTTGGTTGCAAATCTAGAGAGGAATGATCTATTTCAGAGTCTCTTGGGGACAGTTGTTCTTAAAGCCTCTGTAGGTGTCTTCCCACTATATCCTGAGCAGCACTTCAGTGTTTATGACCCTGCTGCCTCCCCACTTTCTCCATACCTGCTCATTCTTTCTGTTGTTGCATTTGAAGCATTCTTTCCATCTCTCCAGGCCCGGGAAGCTGGCCAGTGCTTGGCTATGGAAGTGGACTCTGTCTCCCTACGAATGAAGAAGAGGAGTACCTCGATTCCTGAGATGCAGAACCTCTCCAAAGAAGTGGGACAGTTGACCAAAGTAAGGATTACACTCCTGTACAGAAGGATCCTAGCATGGGCTCTATACACTTGAGGCACATGACTTCTTCCCTACCAGGTTCACATCTTACCATGGTCAATAGCAAGGGCAAGTTGCTACCTGCTGTTGCCTCTTTGATCACAAAGACTTCTACCAGTGTCCAGGTGCCTCTGCTGCAGATGACCTCTTGCCAGAGGGAGTGTCAGAGAAGGCAATGGTGGGGAGGATAGAGCAGTGAAAAAGGGTTCCCAGGTTCTTCCCCAGGCTTTAGATGCCCAGCTGAAAAGGGAAAGCTACACATCACGGTGACTGACTGGCCTGATCACATCAGGGGTATAGGAGGGTCTGGGAAGAGGCCAGGCTCCAGCCTGACCTCGCAGAGAATTAGCAGTTTATGACTAGGTACAGTTTAGTGTCCTTATACAGCAAATTGTCTTGCAGATGGTGGCTAGCACTCCAATGCCCCAGTGGCAAAGAAAAGAACTACAGACTATCCTCAGAGTGCTACAGCGAACAGCCAACACAGCCGTCAAGAAACTGGAGATGCAGCAGGTACTATGGCAGCAGCACACTAACTTGCAGCCTGCTAGTAGCACTGTGTGGCATACACAGGTGGACCTGGTGTCTCTGTCACACTTCACAGCTATTCAGTCACTAGAGTCCCATTAGAAGGCAGGAGAAAGAGGGTACAATCACACACAGTGCAACATAAGCCCTGTGTTGGGTTGATTTCACTGGCATTAACCAGAGCCCTCATTTAAAATGGCAGTGAATTGTGAACTGACTGGGGTTTTGGCACCTGCAAAATCCCTGTGTCTCTCTGCCTGTGAAGATGAAGAGCCCCATATCAGCACTTTCGGCAAACACCAACAGGCAGATAGGCATCACCTCCCTTTTTATACATGAAGAAAATGAGATGGCCCTGACAGTGTGCTTTACAAGGTTCTGCAGTAAGACAGTGGCAGGACAGAGCCTTTCTCCCAGCCATATGTATATTGCTGTGGCTTCCCACTGCATTTGTGTTCTGCCGATTTACGTTAAAAGACCTTTAGAAATGCTTATTGGTGACTTAATGTTCTCAGTAAGCACTATCATTTTCGTAAAGTAGGAGCGTCTTGCCACGGGAGCCTTCCTGAGATATCCAGCAATGTGTAGGTCCAGGAGAGAAGCTGGGGACTGAAGATGTCACTGTCTACTCCACTTTTGAAAGGGCTTCATCTCTGCTTGCTTTTGAGGAAGGAGGGTTGTACAGGTCTCCACGTCAAGATTTCAGTCTGCCAGTCTTACTTTGACTTCTGCTAGCATGCATTTCCCGTCTATCCCACAGAGCAGCACTTCCATTCCCTATGTACATATGTTACATGCATATATCCCTGTCCAGCCCACACTCTGCCACCTGTAGCCCCTCAAGTTCTGTGTGTTTCCTCCTCCAGGCTGAAGAGAAGGCACAAAGCATGCTAGCAAAACATTGCAACCAACCTGTCATCATTGATACTGTCCCAGCTGACTCCCTCTCTGTGAGTAGTCCACATTACTTGTTGACCCAGTGGTTCCTCAGGTGCTGCATAGAGTAAGAGGGAGCTGCTGGGCATGTTTTCTGCTGCATGCCAGTCTCCTTTGCTGTAGCCTGACCTTTCTTCTCCCTGCCTCTCCTAGATCCTAATGAAGGTAGTGAACCAGCTGTGTGACAAGTCTCCTGGCACATCAGTCATGCTGCTCAGCCCTCAGGCTTCTGGTGAGGTGCTCTGTGCCTGTCAGGTGTCCAAGGTAAGCAGAACCTTGGTAGAGACACGGGGAACCTGCCTGCAAAAGGGGGCTGGACCCACGGCTCAGCAGATCCCAGTTGAGGCTTTTCCTGGGATTCTGCCCAGTGCTGCTGGTTAATCATGCAGGGGTAGGACCTGATATGACCATACTGGGACCAGATACGCTTTCAGTCTCTGCTGGGCACAAATATCCCTGGATCCTCCAGGCCATGTTTGCCCAGGAGCAGGACACAGCATTGACATGTAAGCTCAAGCTTTGCAGTCCTTGCAGTTGACTACCTCAGGTAGTGAGGGCCCAGGCTGGGCGAGGAGAGAATGTTGTTACTTTTCTTTATCCAGACTGCAGAGTGCTCCACAGTCCAAATTACTTTGCTCTGTGTCTCTTCCCCAGAATTGCCTCCCTGAGTTCTCTGCTGCTGACTGGGCCGTGGCTGTCTGTACACAGATGGAAGGGAAGGCAGGAGGTTCTCCTGTCGTCGCTAAGGGCAGTGGAAATGCCAAGGGCATGCAGGGAGCCCTGACTACTGCACTGGAGTTCGCTCAGAGTAAACTCTTGAAATAACTGTGATGCTTTGGTGGCAGGACAGCTGTATGTAGCCCAGCTGTAAGCTACGTGGACACTTGGTGCAAAGCACACATTATACTCTGCTGATCTGAAAGGTTTAGCAGCTCCCACACTGAACGTTGCTGCAGCCACTGCATTGGAGCATTTGGCTTCTGGCCATCAGGGATCAGCAGAACCCCACTCCTGATCCCACTGACAGAACGATGCTGCCTGTTCTCAGCATGGACATACAGTGATGGAGCCTCAGAAAGCACCAGCTGCAGCAGCAGATCCTGCTGCTTCTGGAACAGTGCAGTTCTTGCCACAAGATTAGCACAGAGAGGCCCCATGAGAGCATGGGGGGAGATGGCACAGTGTTATCCTAAAACCATTAAATGGCAGAGAGTGTGTGATCCCCTGATGTTTCTTTTGTTTTTTCTTTCCCCCCTGCTCTGGCAGAGAGGTTTGTTCTGTCCCTGCAGCCCTACAAGTCAGCACACACTCTTGTGTAAGCAGTCCTATCCTACTGCAGAACTCAGGACACCCTTGTGATTAAAAAAGCTACTGTAATTTAGAAATCGGAAGTCCCACCCTGCTTGCAGTCTCAGCCTTGTTAGGCTATGCAACAGGTAGTGCTGAAGCCAGTCTGCAGTACTGAAGCATGGAGGGAACAAAATCATCCCAGCCTCTGCCTCTTTGGTTTGGATGAATGTTCTTAGCCTTGTTTCCTCCTGCTACTCCCTTGTAACTCCTTTCTTCTCACACTGCCTACTGGCTTCTCACATACCAGCACCTACCTAAAAACCACCATGGATCTGGTGAGTTGTGTGAATGGGAACTGTTGTGTTGCAGCGCGGAACTCCCTGCAGCAGGACACTTAGCCTTGAGGTGAGCAGGTCTCCCTCCTAAACTGGTCACTTTTCACGAACACTAGTGGACCTAGCAAACTCAACTCATAAAGTCATCATTGTTAGAGTGATGTCTAGAGCTCTTGGCCAAAGCACCATTATTTTAGATACTGTATTGACCTAGAGATCACAAATGGTAGCTGAGGCAAAGGTGCAACAGGATAGTGATACAAGCAGGTTTCACCTTGTGAGCAGCAACAGCAGGCTGACAGGGATGAATTTCACCAGCAGGTAGGGTTGCCTGTCTCTGTGGAGTGAGGTGGAGGAGGCAGTAGCTGCATGCTTTTGGGGAGGGGAGGAGGAGGGGTGGAAGCACAGTGATACTGATGGATGGGGAGCAGGAAATGGCTGTCACATAGATAAGGATTGGTAAAGAGGTTGTAGTGGGGAATGGCCCAGTCTCCTAATGAGATACTCCCTCCACTTTTCTTAGCTGTCTTTTTGAGGGGGAGTGGGTGAATAGTTGCTGTGAGCCGAGCCTCCTCTACCTTCTCTCTTCAGTGAACAGCTCACCTGGGAAAAAAGGGAGGTGGACTTAGATGCAACACTAGAGGACATGCAGTTTTCTTCCCTATGTCAGCGGCTGTCCAGCCCAAAATCTCCTGTGGTCCCTAAGGCTTAATGTGGCTCCTAGTCATCTTTGCAAAGTGCCAGGAGCTGGTTTTGCACTTGGATAAGTGCCAGACATAAATGTGAGAACTCGGAGGCAGGGGTAGGGAGGCTTTAAGGGCTGGTGGTGCTCCCCACTATCCTCCTCTCTTCCCCCAAAGCACTGACAGCTGCAGCAAGAGCACAGGCCTTCAACCTTTCATTCAGTAAACACTACTTCCAGCCAGGGAGCTTAAAGCAGGGCTTGTTGCAAAGTGGACTGTGAGCCAAGGTCCCTGGGCACCTGGCCCTGCTGCTCTGAGTTCAGCCATCAGAGAGGTGCACAGGCCCCTTTCTTTCATCACCCTGCCAGTGAGGCAGGTTGCTGCTCACCCCAGACCCTGCCTGCATTCCTGTATGCTGTAGCAGAGCAGCCTAGTGCTTTCTCAAATTTCTTGCCATTTCTGGATGCAGAGGTGCTGCTGGTGCTTGTAACATCTCTACAAGGAACCTGTACATAGGGAAGGGCTGGAACATCCAGCCCAGCACTTCGGGGACCTTGTGACAAGGCTGGTAGGGTGCTGGAGCGGATGCATGGAGTCCCTGGGGATGGTTTGTGCTGTCAGTTGAAAGCAGTGTTAGTGCCCAGTGTTGCACAGCTCCTGTGTTTCACTTGCACCACAGCAGTACCAGATGTGGGGAGGGGAAGGGCTGCTCTGTCTTACTGGGAAAGCGCTTTCCTGGGGTGCTTTTGTGTTACTGTGTTAATAGCTGCTACAGGAGATGATGTCTCCTTTTGGTATTGGAGAGTAGGTGTGGGAAGAGGAGAGGAATGCTGGGTTGAGCTGCTCCTGCGCCATGCTCCAAAAGTAGAGCCTGAGCTTGTTAGCAGCAGCCTTACAAAATTAACCCCCTTTGGCCTGATTTTTAGCTTAGAAACCACTGGCCTCTTGTAGACTTTTGCCCAGTCCCTTACGGGGCAGGGGTCTGTGCACTGACCTTCAAGGTAATGCCTTTACTCACAGGGAAGTTAAGCCCCTGCTGTTGATCTTCTGGAGGGCCAAGGGCTGCTGCTGCAGAGGCAACCGGAGCGGTGGCTCTTGGAGCCGTTGGAAGGAGGTCCATCTCTACTGTGGGAGCTGTTGGGCTTTCAGCACTATGCAGTGAGTGAGCAGCAAAGGCCTGATGGCTCAGCACCCCAGGTCTGCTCTTCCCTTCCATGTCCCATGGGAAAAGTAGCTCCCTGCTCTCAGGATGACAGATGCAGCCCTACAGTGAGAAATAAGCCCCTACCCCCACATAGGGGCACTAGGGGAAGGCTTAATGATCCTGCAGCCAATTCCAGGCCATTTGGGGAACTGAAAGGTATTGATTATGTGACAGCAGTTACAGCTTGGCCAAGCAATACTGGAAGGTGGGCAATGGGAAAGGCCCAACACAGCCTTACACTGCACGCACACCAGTGAGCAAGGATTATAAAGCTCTTAAAGCAGAGTAGGGGCGTTTTAATCTGGCCATCCTGCATGGGGTCTGTGGGTGATCTCAGGTGACTTCTGCAGGCAGGCTTTCCAGAAGGCAGCCCAAAATGGCAGGAGGCTGCTGAGGACCAAGTCCCACAGCTCATCAAACAGCTCTGGAGATGGTAGCAGCACATCTTTGAACAGGGAGCACTCAACTATCTGCACAGCCCTCCCCAGCTTCTCTGTGCCCATGGCTACCTGTGGTGTCAGCTGAAAGACCTGCTGAGTCTGGGAGCAGTTGCTCTGCAACAGCCATGCACCATGTGGGATCAGGCCAGTCCTATACCTTTTCCACACCAGTTTGGTAATCGTGTTCCTGAACTTCTGCACCTCCAGCTGGGACCTCAGTGCCTTCTCTGCATCTGCAGCAGCCCCAGCACTCCCTGCACCTAGGGAAGTGCTGCGCTGCCTTCCTATAAATGTTAAGAACAACCTGGTCAGCAAGCAGGGCTGCAGCCTGCTGTGATGGCACTGGCTCTTCTCCTGCCTCAGCCAGGGCAGTCTTGGGGAGACCTTCCAGCTTGGAGCCCGTTTTCTTTCTCCTCCTTTGCTGCTCTTGGCCTTTCTGGGCATGAAATTCAGTATTTCCTTTCCTCTTTCTGAGCCTGCAAGGATTTAAGTGGGTTATCGATGAGGTCACAGCATAACCAAGTCATGATCTTACTAGATATCATAAGCTCAGTAGCACTAAACGTACTCTGTAACTGAAGGACAAAAAGGATCTTACCCTACCAAAGAGTAGTCTGTGGAGGCATCTGTGGTGCCCATATCACCTCAGGCTGGTAAAGTGGGTTGCTGCAGTAGGAATGCTGGGTTTTGAGCTGTGGCCATGCCAGGCCATCGCTGATCCTAGGAGAGAGAATTTCCTGCTGTTCTCCTGGTGAACCCCCAGTGCACAGATTTGTGTCCCATTGTCCACTTTCCCTGCTGCAGAAGGACAATGAATTCACGTCCCATGCTGCAGCCGCAGTAGCTGCCATATTTCTGCCTGGGATGCCCTGTATTTCCATGGCTGGTCAAGCAGTGCTCAGCTGGTAGGGCTTAGGGGAATGAAACATGAGTTTTAAATGTAGTTCTCCAGCCAAAATAGCAGCTTACATTCCCTTACAGTCATCAAGGATCTAAAGTGCGAGCAGTACCCTGGGCACAGGTTTGCAACTCCAAACACATGCACGCAGAAGGAACGGCAGGAAGTGGGAAACTAATTAGAGAGATGATGGGGTTTTTGCTGTGAACAGGTGCTGTCAGGTTGGCAACACCTCCATAAGTCCAGATGGACCCCAAGGTCCCTTAAGGGCACGTGCAATGCAAGGGCTTGCCAACCCCAATCGCAAGCAACTACCTGACTTCGGTAAAAGAGAAGCAGAAAGTGCATGCTTGTCTCTTCTCACCTGCTTTGCTCCCGATAGCCTGGGCTGCAGAGTCAGAGGCTGGCATGCAGTGCCTGCGAGAAGCCCAGCTCTCCCTAGGCACCCCTGGGGCAGGCTGCTGTAGGGACCTGAGGCACTGCACCCTGGGTCCCATGGGACTCACTCCAGGAAGGTCCTAGGATCGTAGTGGTGGTAGCAGAGCCAAGCCACACAAGAGGATGCCGAAGGCATGCTGAGCCACAGGCTCAAAAGCCGTGGAGCTTGGTCCCTCATGGCTGGAGCTGAGCATTGCCTGGAGACACTGAATGTACACAGCATGTCCAAGCTGAGCCCTGCGGGGAGGGAGAGCAGCTCAGGGGCTGGTGCAGGGAACCAGAGCACAGCTCCTCCCCTGCTGGGACACCCCATCCCTGCCACCGGTGCCTGCAGGACATGGCCAATGGGTCACAAGGAGCAGCTGGGGTCTCCCCAGCACCCATCAGCCGCACCACCTTCCATTTCCCCAGGGCTAGCAGCAGTATGTGCATTCCCAGCTCGCAGCTGAGCGTGGCACTGAGCCCCCCAGTCCCTGGGTTGAGGCACACCCCCAGGACCAGCCCACCAGCAGGTAGAAGGAGTAGTCCCCCTGCATGCACAGGGATACCCTCACACACCAGCACACACCTCCCAAGCACCCGCTGTAAGGATTTGCACCCGCACATATGCAGATCTCCCTTTGTACGATTTCAGGTGTGATTTCCCTCCCATCACCTCGCATGCGGCAGGACTTGCATGTGCTGCAGCATGAGCACACAGGCTTGGCGTAGCCACTAACCTGTGCAGTCTGGCACTCCTGCATACACACATGCATGCAGAAGGCAACATGTATGTAGTGACAGCATGGACTGAACTAGTCATGTCACACACGTACATGTGTGCTCAAATGCAATCCGGAAACTCACACGTCCACACACACCTCTTACATGCAGGCTCTCATGGGCTCTCACCATCACACCACCCCCCACACAGGCTCCCTGCCTCCGCAGCAGCTGGGCACCCACACGGAGCAGCACCCACACACAAGGCAACAGTGGTGAACCCATGAAACCAGAGCACTCGTGGCAAGGCAGGACATCCCATCCCTCGGGAGCAGCTCAGGGCCACCTCGAGCTGGTGCTGCTCCTCATCTGCACCCCAGCTACCTGGGAAAGGAGGGGATGGCTCTGTCCTAGAAGTATTCAGCTGAGGGACAGGCAATGTGTAGGGCATGCAGGCAGGAGAGGAGCAGCTGCTGGGCCTGGTGATGAGGGGCAGGGGAACTCTGAGCCCCCAGCTCCCTGGGAGCACTGCTGGGCAAAGAGCTGAGCTTACACCACAGCAGAGTGCTATCGCAGCGGCATGCCAAGAGCCTGATGAGGCAGGAGAGGCATTTCACAGGGAATCCCAGCAGCTCACCTTTGCTGCATGCCCTTCACGGCCAGCCGGTTCCCTGCGTGAAAGCGCCGGCGCCTTGCAGTCAGCTCATCAGCTTGAATTGCAGCTGGCATTTCTGTGCGGCTTGCCGCTTGCTCAGCTGCAGCCCAAGCTCCTCTCTCCTCCAGAAAGCATGAGGAAAACCCATGTTGCTGGGAGAAGGGCCCCACTTCCCCTCCATCCTCCCCACCACCAATGCCACCACCATCCCAGCTGCCCCCAGGAGCACCCTGCTACTGAGCCCACCCTCCTGACCAGGGTGCAGCCTGCTGGAGAGAAATTGAGGGATTAATTTTGATTTATTTATGCCATTCTGGGTCTTAATCTACCAGATGGTGGCTGGTGGGGCGCCCAGGATGTCTGCACTGAGGGTGTGCCAGTGAGGCTGCCATGGTGTTACCTGGTCTGCATCCAGACCCACCATCCAGAGAGCCAGGTACTGCTGCATCCACCACGCACTGCAGAGCCACTCACCCTGCCATCATACAATCAGAGCAGGCTCCCAGTGGGAGAATGAGTAAAGCTACACCCATGACCAGCCCCAGGCACTGGGGTGCTGCTGCCCACCACAGGTTCCCCTGAGATGGGAGAGGGGATGGAAGGAGACCCTGTCCTGCCCAGTCTGCTGTGGGAGAGACTGGAAGGAGCTCCATCTCACCTGACTTTGTATTGCACCCAGTGCCTGTGTGTCACTTTTGCAAGCTGGGGAGCTTCAGACTAAGTTGTGAAGTTCTACCATCCACAGTCACTTAAGATTCCCATGGGGGCTGTCAATCTTGAAGTCCTGCTGCAATTCCAGTCCAAAACCCTTCCTGTGTTTTCAGCTGGCTGTGGGATCCCTATCCCAGAGCTATTGACATCAGATTGTCTGGTCTTTTGGGGACACTCCACCACAAGCCTGCTGCGAAAGTCCCTGAGGCTACACAGACACTGGGTTACTATTCCAGTCCCCAGCCAAGATCCCTGCATCTCCTTCTAGTCCTTGCCCAGCCTTCTTTCACGCACTTCCCTCTTGCTTTGCATCAGAGGTTGCCCAGGCTTGAGCTCCAGGAACGGGAAGATAAATCTGAGCCTACGTAGACCTTCTTTTCACATGGTGAAGAATTATTTACACTCGGGTTGGGATTTGCTGCTCTACTAATTTTGTTGTCTCCTCGTTTGCCTGTTTGTCCCACATTTCAGATGGTGTTCCCTCCCTCCCCCTTCCTTCCCTCGCTGTCCCCACTTGCGGGTGTTCTTCCTCTCTCCTCCTCCTCCTGGCTGGCCCAGTTAGGCAGGTGCAAGAAGATGCACAAGGAAGATAATCCATCAACTCAAATATCACTGAGTTTTGTGGAGAAAGGGGGAAAGAGATGCAAAACTAAATGACCTTTAAAACAAGTGAGCTCTCAGGTTCCCTCCCCCACCCAGAAGCAGCTCCTCTGCTCTGCTGTAACCTCCTCCTCCCTGTCCTAGCGTTTATTTATAAGCACCATCAATAATTAAGAAGCTGCCTGCCTGCCCGCTTGCCTCGGCTGCCGTGTTGACAGAGACATCTCTGACGTTTCCTGGCTCAGCCTGGCTGCATTGCTCACTTGGGCTTTTAATCTTCCCCTGCCTTGTTAGAAACACAGGAATCACCTACCTGGAATGGTCCGGAGAGCCAGGAGAGCTCCCTGCAGTGGGCTGGTTGCCCTGAGAGCAAACCAAAAGCTGCTGGCTCTCATGACCCCACAGCAGCAGCACAGGGTGGGTTGTCTGGGGTGTCCCTGCTATGGGCACCACCACTCCCTGCCAGAGTCAGGCTCCAGGAGAAGAGGCACCCTTGTCTACATCTGAGGGCCAGGGAGCTCCCACGCTGGTGGCTCCTTGCTGACAAAACCACAAGCAAGGGCTCTGCGGCTGGAGCCCCCAGTCCCAGGGGAGCAGCATCACCCTGGACACCCAGCCCAGGAGGTGGAAGAGACCCACCAAGCAGTGCAGCCAAATAGCACAGCCAAGCAGAACGATTTGGCCCTAGCAGGCAGAGCTGGAGCCCTTTCAGTAGAGGGGTACAGCTGGGCTTAGAAATCAGGGATGGAAGGCTTTACACTGGCCTGGAGAAACCACCGCAGGGCATAACCCGGGGACAGGCCAGGCACAGAGGCAACAGCCAGGCTTGGCACATCACTGGCACTTCAGAATTCCTTGGGAACACTCTGGGTCACTCCTCATGCGTTCAAAGGCACCCTGCAGGGATCAGGGAAGCTCCAGCCCTTGAACAAACCGTCACGCGTGCAGTTTCCAGGCAGCCCAGCTCAGCAGCTGCAAGCAGAGCCCGCAGCATGCCAGAGCTGAGCCCAGGTCCCTTTGCCAGTGCGATCCTGAAGCAGCAATGGGGCGCAAGAGGGAAGCCCGGTAGTTCTCCCTGAGCTGGCCTGCGATTCTGCTGGACACAGTAGAGACAGGCAGACAAAAAGTGGCAGATAGCTGCAGCTGGAGGCAGGTCCTATGCACCCAGCTCCCCCCAACATGCAGCATGACACCTTGGGCTCCCCGGTTCCACTGGCTGAGCCCTGAAAAGGAACACGAAGGGGGCTGGGGCTCAGCCGCATCCCCCACACCCCGCTGCAGGGCCAGCAGTGCCTGGGAGCTGGGTGCCGCAGTGCTGGGAAGTGGATCTGTCATAAAGCGCAGCTCTGGAGGGACGGTGATGGCAGCTGGCAGCTCCCCAGCCCTGCCGGTGCCAGGCCCCGCTCGGGTGGGAAGAGGGCACCAAAGGACAGTGTCAACTCAGCAGCCCTTGGTGCGCAAGCTCCCAGGCTGTCCTACCCCATCAGCGTCCGACTGCCGCCACAGCGACTGCCCTGACATTGCCCTTGCTGCGATGGGGTGGATGGGGCCCCCCTTTTGCCCCCCCCAAGTTGCCCCACACCAGACCCTGCAACTGCTGACACAGGACATACAGAGGTGCTGCTGTGGGACACCAAGGGTCTGAGAGATGGAAGAGGTGCCTTCTTCCCCAGCTACACCCACCTCCCCAGCCCACGCAGCCCAGCTGTCCCAGGGGTGCTGGAAGAGCTCACGCCCCTCCCCAGTGGTCTCCCTCTTCTGTGGGGCAGGCTCTGAGGAGCTTCCCCAGCCTTCAAGGGAAGGGGTGGCCCCCTGCAAGGGGTATCAGGTGTCCCTCCGCAAGGGGTATCACAACCAAGCTGGCTTTGAAGGTAAATAAGGCAAGCAGGGACAATGACCTCATTTCAAATATAACAAAGCCCCTGGTCCTCTGAGCTGCTTTCTGGTGGTCACATGAGGGAAAGACGCTGCACTGCCTGCCGTGGGCTTTTCAAAATTTCCCTGTGCACTGCTTGTGCTATAGGACCTGAGCCCCCTCCACAAGCCTCTAGAGCACTTACCCCTGTCAAAAGCACCTTGGGTTTATCAAGCCACAGCAGGGAGAGGTGGAAATGGGGACAGGGAAAGGAATGACACAGAGTCACAAGCTAAAATGCAAAGCATGGGCTACCCCGGGGAAAAAAGAGACCATGCAAAACCAATAGAGTAACTCCATGAGAGTGCTGGAAAACAGCCTCCCACTAGCCCTCATCCCCAGCCTGGGAAGGGAAAAGCATCACAGCTGCTCTGAATGTCGTGAAGGCTGCAACAAGCCCAGGCAGGAATAGAAGTCACTAACTAGATGCTTTTCCTCCTCCAAGTGAAAATGTAGCCAGCTCCTCTCCTCCTCTCCTCTCCTCTCCTCTTCTCTCCTCTTCTCTCCCTCTGCCAGGTTTTTCAAGTGAGGTGACACCATCCATGTCAGAGAGCCATGCAGCTGGTGGCCAAGTGCACAGGGCAGGGAGGAACATGGCCAGCATGGCTAAGGGGAGCTGGCTGCATGCAGCACCCTTGGCGAGGACGCAACAGCACCTCATTTCACAGGAATAGAGGTGCAGAGGAGGAAGGCTATCAGAAGTGTTCAGTGACCAGCATTATTACATTAATTACCTCCTTCATGGTCCAACCTGCTACAGCTAGCCCTGTTTCTGTGCATGTCTCCTTCTGGACTCTACAAAGGGAGATGTCTTCCCCATCCCCTCCCAGAAGATGAGTGGCAGCAATGTGGCAGTGAGGGGACGTGTGCTCCAGGGACAGGATCTGTGGGGATTGCTGTGACGCCGTAGTGACAGTGGAGACCCTAGAGCTCAGGAAGTGCTAATGGAGATGCCCGTCCCTAAGTATCAAGGAGAGCCAGGAGAAAGTGTCAGAGTCTGTCCTGGTTTCAGCTGGGATAGAGTTAACTGTCTTCCTAGTAGCTGGTACAGTGCTGTGTTTTGAGTTCAGTATGTGAAGAATGTTGATAACACTGATGTTTTCAGTTGTTGCTCAGTAGTGTTTAGACTAGAGTCAAGGATTTTTCAGCTTCTCATGCCCAGCCAGGGCACCTGACCCAAACTGGCCAACAGGGTATTCCATACCATGTGACGTCCCATCTAGTTTAGGAACTGGGAAGTGGGGGGCAGGGAATCGCTGCTCGGGGACTGGCTGGGGGTCGGTCGGCGGGGGGGGAGCAATTGCCCTGCGCATCATTTGTACATTCCAATCCTTTTATTACTACTGTTGTCATTTTATTAGTGTTATCATTATCATTATTAGTTTCTTCTTTTCTGTTCTATTAAAGCGTTCTTATCTCAACCCAGGAGTTTTACTTCTTTTCCTGATTTTGTCCCCCATCCCACTGGATGGGGGGGGGAGTGAGTGAGCGGCTGCGTGGTGCTTAGTTGCTGGCTGGGGTTAAACCACGACAGAGTCCCTCCAGGAAAGGAGGGATTGCTCAAAGGGCCACCCAGTTCTAAGCCAAAAGCAGCAGGCGTTGCGCTAACGCAGCTATCTGAAGCAGAAAGGCTGGGAATATCTGAGCAAATCCTCCCTGAGTCTGTTTTGCTGCCCAAACACAGCCGTGTGCTTGCAGCAGGGCTCACAAATAGGATGTTTCTGCTGCCTACAGCCTCTGAGAGCTTTCTGGCAGGATGGTTGCTCTGCTTTTCCCCTCCTCCTTCTCATTTCAATAAGGGAGGATTTGGGGCATGTCCTGCCCAACAGAAGTTTGGTGAACCTTCAGACCAAGTAGTGATGAGCAACCCCAGCTGAACAACAAGTAAGGAAGTAAGTGGAGCAAGGGAGCGTGGAGGAAGCAGCGGCTGTGGTCATGTCCTAGGCATTGCTTATTAATTATAGCATAGCCTGGGAGCTGGGCACAGGGGAGAGCTTCAGAGTGGGTCCTCTCTTCCCTGGCAGCCCTTGGTCTGGGGTTCTGCCAGCGCCTCCCACGTCAATCCCACCGCAACTGGGGCTGAAGAGCACGGAAGGTGGGGCAAACGTGGCAGCCTGAAATCTGGCAGTGCTGGTTCTCCATCTTTTTTCTGTAGATCGAAGGGTGGAGAGAAAGGGAGGGGAGCCTGGCACAGCTCCTGCCCAAGCCTAGTGTGCCATCTGGCATTTGGATGCAACACAAGGGGCTGAGTGGGAGGCAGCAGAGGGACCTGAGTCTTCTGGCCTGACGTTGGAGGGATCTCGGAGCGAGGGAAGTAGAGGAGGCTCCAGCAGCAAAGAGAGAGGCATTTGCAAATGGGAGTCACTAGGTCCCTGGGCACAGATCCTGCCTGCAGGAAGGTTTTCATAATTCAGTGAAGAAAACATACGATCTGGAAAAAAAAATTAAAAACTAAGAAAAGGCAAATAAACTGTCTTGCCTGGGGAGCTTCAGCTTGGCAGGATGAGGCAGTGTGTCTGCCCTTTTCCTCTCACCCTGCTACAAGCAGCAAGAGTCACTAAAGGAAAGGGGTTCCTGCAGTGGAAATTGTTACCAGCCGCTGAGCTGAACCAAGCAGGGATAAATCCAAGTTTTGGGGGAACAGCAAGGATTTGTTGAGATACCATGGCTGTTCAGATGGGCAGGAAGGCACAGAGGTGGGGTTAATGAAGTGCAGCCTTACCAAGCATCTTGGGCAAACACTGGAGCGGAGGGTATTCTGCCCCAGAGCCAGAGCCTGGGATGTACAGGAAAGATTTAACAGCCATCCACTTTTGCCTCCGTCTTCTTGGGATGTGATTCCTGGCAGGCACAGCCTCAGTGGATGAAGAAAATCTCCTGCACTATTTTTGCATCTGCACTAAAGTAACCTGGATGAAAGAAACCTTCCTGCTTCAGAGTTCAGACCAGAGGTGGAGTGGCGTAAGAAAGAAAAAAACATCCCCCTTGGTCAGGTTGTATCCTGACTAACCCCACAGCAGTTGGGCAGTGCCCCATGGGAGATGGGGGACAAGTCCAGGCATATCCTGGGACTGGCTTGCACCAGCAGCAGAGGAAGGATGCCCCTTTTCACAGACCTTGGTGCGATGCATGGTGGTGGGGATGCCAACCATAATGACAGGTCAGATCCCCTGATAATTTCTTCCCCTGCCTTGTTTCTTTAATTAATCTCAAAGAGAGAGCATCCAACCCACCCGCACCCGCAGGCTCTGGTGGGATCATTTCTCTCACATGCACACACACACACACACACACCCCCCGCAGGGCTCCTGTGTGCCATTAGAAAGGCCAGGGCTAGATGAGCTCCTGCAGCCCGCCAGCTGGCAGGCTCTGCCTCCTTCCCTTTGCACAGCATCTGCAGGCAAGGCCTTCAGGACATCCCAGGGAGATGAGTCTCCACTCCCGCTACCAAGCCCTGCTCCCCACAGAGCCGGCGCACACAGCAGATGGGCCCATCTCTCCCTGCCAGCACAGGCAAGGGGGCTGGAAGATAAGAGGTGGAACCAAATCCAGTCTAATTAAGGGTAATTACCATTCATCCCAGGAAGCAGTAGGAGACAAAACCCACATTCTCCCCATCTATTAATAGCTGTCAGCAGCTGCACAGTTCCTGCTGGGACCCAGGGAGAGCAGAAAGCTTTGGGAGGAGCGGCAGCACGGAGAGCATCCTGCTCCCTCGTCCTTCAGTGCTGGCTGTGCAAGGGGGTGTTTTCCTCCTTCCAGGATGCCATTTCTTTTGCTGCTTCCCCCGGGACTCCAGGAGATACCAGCTGCTTTTAAGCAGTGTTTTCCAGCAAGAGCTGCAGGGAGCCAGCCAGAGGAGGGCCTGGAGACAGGACTTTGGAGCCAGTCCCTGCTCCTCAGCATCCTCAATTTGCTGAGTCCCCGAGTTTTGGCAACTTACTGTGCTCCTTGTTGAAAGGGTAGAAGCCATCCACGCAAGAGGACTCCCCCAGCACCAAGGACAAACCTTGCTGGCTCCTGTCCTAGTGAATCCCTTTGATGTCAGGCAGACATCAAACACCAACTGCCTCCTCTCAAACCTGATCTTCAGCTGCGCCTGCAGTTCTTCCCTCTGGAGAGATGAACCGCATCTGACAGATGGGGGTTGCCTCAGCTTGAAGGCATCAACTAGAGAAGCTGCCCCACGTGGCATAGAGGACTCAAATAAAATTATATCCTGAACTGGTGTGGTGACTTCTGGCCATCACAGTGTGATGTGAGGACAAAAGGGGCTGCAGGAGATGCACTAGCAGAGTGCATCTGGGTGGACATGTGCATGGGTGGGGGGGTGCCTTCCATGCCTGCTACCTCCAGCTGCCACTGCGAACAGTCTGCTGCTTGCCGTGGGCAAAAACCTCACCAGACGTGTTTGTGCAGTCCCCAAAGAGACAGCTGGTGCTGGTGCCACCCCACCAGGGAGAAACCAAGCAGCAGATTAGAGGAGAGGAGAGCTGCCTGGCTGCGGGGTGTCTTGGTGGCCAGGCAAAGCAGGCTGCAGGAGGGAAAGGCACCTTTTTGTGCCTGGGCACTGTCCACTGCTGCTCTGGCACTAGGCAATGCCTGGCAATAGTCCCTGTTCCAGCAACACCCAGCACAGCTTCACTGCTGGTGTTGCACAGCTGTCAGCAATCCTTGCGCGCTGAGCTGCTGGGTCAAGGGTCCACTTGGGTCCTTTTCTCTCAGCTGCTCCCTTTGAAGTGGAAGATGCCTAGATTGAGAGAAGCCACATCCAGCATCTTCTCTGAGAGGAGCAAGCCTCTGCTTCTTGCTGGAGCCTGTTGCCAAAAGAAACCAAGACAGCCACAGAGAAGGGAAACATAAGAGCAGAGGTTCAGGTCAAAAGAGGGAGCTCCCCAGGCCAGCCGTGGATG